GCTACTGCCGTGAATTATAATATAAATATCTGTGTTTTCTGATGGTCTTAGGTGACCCCTGTGAAAGGGTTGGTCAACCTCAAAATGGGTCATGACAGGTTGAAAAGCACTGTGTGAGAGTGAAGAAAATATATATATTTAATGGGGCTGGAGAGATGGCTCAGGGGTGAAAAACACTTGCTGTCCTTCCAGAGGACCTGAGTTTGGTTTCCAGCACCCACACTGGACAACTCACAAGGTCTGCATATAACTCCAGCTCCAGGGGATCAATGTCCTCTGTACCACCAGAGCACATACATATAAATGCAAATTAAACAATTTCATGCTTAGAGGGTGACTTCTTGAGAAGGAAGGATGAGAAATCAAGTCATGATTGCCCTTGGTATCAGTGATTGGTTAACCCAATGGTGTGCATCTTCGGTGAGTTTTCTTTTCTTGACAACTGTCCCCACATTGGACCTCAGGAAGTTATGTGAAAAGTAATTAGTGGGAGCAAATGGTTGTTGATAGATTGCCTGACAAAGCCTTGAGTCCTGAGAAAACATGACTGGACAGCAGCATTCTGCTGCATGAGAACCCAGAGGCCATCTCAGAATTACCGAGACACATAGGAAAGATGCTCACAGTGGTTAACACACCATTCAATCAGATGGTTGTGATTTGACTCATAACTACTGATAGCATAACTGTTGGCCTTTAGAAATGTTTAACTTTCCATCACCCATAGTCTCACCATCTGCAAATTGGAAATGGTTCATTGTACTAGTCACATTAAATCATTCAAACATTAGATGATACAACACGTCTGAAAATATAGTGAAATGATCAATAATAGTAGCTACTATTGCTAATTGCTACTTTAAAAGGCCAGTCCATTTTTTTTCTCTACAAATTCTCTAGAAGTCTATAAGAAGTTTTCATTAAGAAAAATCGGAATAGCTAGCAAAGCACAGCTCTGTTTTGCAGAGGCCAGCTGGGGAGCCATTTATTTCTCCTGGATTGTTGGGGTTTGGGCTTCTTTAGATCTTCCATTTGTGTTGGTTGTATCTTCGTTTTGATAATCCTGCCTCAAAGAATTCCAAGCAGCTAGTGAGGCGAGTTATTTCTTTCCTGGAACCACAAGGGTCTCTCCAAACAGAACCCCTGCTCTTCCTCTGTTTGACTTCTTAGAATAGTTTCTGAAGAATTTAACCACAACTGAATCAAAACTAACCAGCCTGTAATTTCCTGGGCTGTCCCCATGACCTTTCCTTTAAAACAAAACACACGCGAAAAATGGCATTTTGATGGCCAATTTCCAGCTTTTTGGGGTTTTGACTGGAGGAAGCTGGGCAATGTCTGTAGGAGCTTCTCTTAATTTCTCCCCATTTCTTGTTGGGATGAGGCTATGTGGGGCTTCGTTACTCTGCATTATCAAAATTAGGCTCTTTTAATTTTGTTAATGAAAAATTTTCTGGATACTGTCAATCAACAGTTCTTTATGTCTGCCTTCCCTCCATTCTGGTGCATATGAAAACAGAGCAGCATGCAGTCAGTACATACGCTGCAAACAGAAAGAGCAGCCCTTTCATATAAAAGCATTTGCTACAAAATTCAAGAAAATTCCAGCAGATTGAATTCATCCATGAGAGACACAATTAAAATATATTACGATCTTTTCGGAAAGCCTTTGCAAATATTTTGATTTCAGTTCTGAAGGATGGAATATTTCACTTATATTGGTCAATGTTATTAAAGGTCAACAATTTATTTTTATAATGTAACCATAGTCATTCTTCAGCTTTTTAAAACATTAAATATTTTCTTTTAGTTTCTCAGTCTGAGATACAATTAAGTGAGTGCTTATAATTAATATGTAACACAAAAGTTAGAGTCAATTAGAAGCCACAGTGAGTGAAAATAGAAATTCATATAATAGCTAAATCAAAATGCTTCAGAACAAAAACCAAGAGATTTATTTTAAAGTCATACTTAATATTATGATAGTGTTTCGACCTAGTACATTGTGTCCACAGATGTTTGTTTCAGTGAATGTTTGCTGAGCTGATGGATTAACAACAGATGACAACAGCAGGACTAAAACTATAGGATGATCACTGAGATAATGGTATAAGGGAGATTCTTTTCTGAGCAAACACTCCCAATCAAATTTTATGACATAATAAACAGTCTAATTTATTATTATAATGCAGGATAATAATATTCAGAAATTCTAAAATGTTAAAAATGTTTATACAATAGAACATGTTTCTAATCTGTATCATATTATCTATATCTCCATAGCTACATCATCTATATAATCTGTATTTATATCTATATACCTGGAAGTCATTATTAGAATGTTTCCAAACAGATCTATTTTTGTCTAACAGGTTCAACCTATTTACAATTAGAAGCTGTCATCTGTATCCTAGGAATCCCTATGCTAAAGGTTTTACATTTTTTTCTTCAGAGTACCTCTTTCTTATATTTCTCATGATATTAATAACCTAGAAAGTTTTCTTTCAAAGCAGAAAGCAAAAGCAACGTCCAGATCCAACTGCAGCACCCTCTTCAACTTACCCGAGTCTAAAAAAACATACCTTTATTCTATCTGGTACTTTAAAGTATAATTTACCATTAAAGAAAAATTCATTGAGATAATGGACCATATATAGAGCAACACATTACATCTGTTCCATGGGGGCAAAGAGACAAGAGACACCTAATTTCATTAGTTCTCTCATTCTCATCCTTGCCTTAGCATTTTCTACTGCTATGGATTTTTTTTACAGCATTCATTCTTTTTAGAAAGTTAATTTCCAAAAATCAAACACAGAAGATTTAAGACATTCTTGAAGTTGTACAGATGTAAGCAATATACTAGAATTAGCACTTGAAAGCAAATATCTCTGTAGACTTAATGGCAAGGTTGGAAAAGTTGAAGACTCGCTCCCTCCGCAAAAGCAGAACCTTTTCCTGGGATCAGCGGAGGAAGAAAGTCCTCTTTCCCGCTGTGAACATACTTCCATTAGCTACAGCAGACTATACGTTGTACATGCTTACTTTGCTCTCTGCCAGACTTTTGGCTGACAAACATTAACCTCAATTGTTCCAAGTAACCTCTCGGGTAGCGTTGCCGAAATGTACATAGATTACCTCACCCCGCAAACAACTCCTTTCATCTTGCATTTATGAAGAGGACTTTCTGGGGAGTAATCTATTCCAATCAGTTTTCATCGATTTATTTAGCACCTACTCAGATGGTTTCAACTCAGACACAAGGGACTTGTGCTCCGGGAACCACGATAATAAGGACATTAAATTAGATTATGTAATTGTTGGTTCTTAATTGCACAGTACTCTTTTACTGGGTCTCATGCTTTTTTTCTTCAATATCTAAAGTTCAAGCCATGAATTGTTAGACACTCAGACATTTCAACAAGTCTATCAGGCTTCTTTCCACAGCCCCAGAATCTCCTATCCATGTTAATATAGTTCACAATTCCGAGAATTACTGAGTAGAAGAATAACAAGCATATGTTATGTCATTTCATGCATTAAAACAATTTCCAAGTGTCTGGGATATTCTATTTTCATCTGAAGATTGCTCACTGAAATCTGAAAATATTGTAGTAAACAGTTACTGAATTACAATGGGTAGCAAACACATAAAATGGCACTATAAAGTGACACATCACGCTGTTTGTCTGTGCACAGGTGTGGCCGTTTTACTAGACTCACAGTTCCCTTTTATAATTCAAGTTCTCCTGTGACACTGGCATTTAAACATGAAAGAAGAGATTGCTATAGTAGTTTCCAATCATCTACATTTTCTTCTGCTAACTCTTAAATTCTCTGAGCATTTCCTAAAGTACAAATCTATGATCAATGATGGAAGGGGCATCAGTAGTTGGAAAACTATAACACTAGCCATTTCTGAGAATAGAATTTTCCTGGGTACAGAGTGGACCACACTAATAAAATGCTACATGGGATTATCCTAGGAAAGCACAGAGCCCTATATTGCAAGTACAAAGTGATGCCACCACCACCACCACCACCACCACCACCACCACCACCATCATCTTGATGGTCACCACAACTATCCAGGCAGGAGTGCAATCAAATAGGATACCTAGATCTAAAGGTTTTGCAAAGGTAAGGAAGGCATTATGGGAATATATTATCTTTATTTCCCTTTAGTTGGCTTTTGTACTTTCTACTTAAAGTCACCAAGGACTCACATTCCAATCCATTTCACAGAGAGAGAGAGAGAGAGAGAGAGAGAGAGAGAGAGAGAGAGAGAGAGAGAGAGAGAGAGAGAGAGAGAGAGAGAGAGAAGAATTTGGCATCACAAATATTTCAGCATGATTTGAAAACTGAGGAAGGCATTTCTCATTTCAAGTAATCATAACAAGTGGCTCTGAATTGGGCATCACTTTGCTGAAAGTATTTAAAATATTTTTTCAGATGCAAATGTGAAAAAAGCACACTGGTAGATTTCCATAGACAAAGTAAATGAAAAGTTTCCATATGTGAAAAAATGATCAATAGAGGATCTGGAAACAGGAAGGATGGATTGCTAATTAAACTGCCACTTTACTATGAAGGTGCAGTGGTGCTTTTTCATTTGAATAAAAGCCTGAGTGAATATTGTAGGTAATTTAAATAGTTGGATCCTGACTTGAGGATTCTTCCCTCTTGTTTTTATATTTACTTATTGCGACCGTATTTCTTTCCTGGGTCTCATTCTTGCTACAGTATTATAAAGATTCTACCATATAACCACCTTAATTACATGCCCTGAATATTGCCATTTTCACAAATGAGGGGACTTGTTTTTAATGCATCTACCACAATTCTTCAAACACATCTCAGTAGCTCCTTCCCAGTGGAGGAGAGGTGACTTTTAGGTTTGCCAGGTCACAGGCTACAAGTGGCTTAGGAAGAGAAAACATCATTAACCATGTTTCACTCAGTACTTGCTGAGCTCTGGGGATGCATGTGCTATACAGTACCTTCTTTTCATTTTCTCGTCTTTGCTGGTCCTTTAATTTAATCTGGAGAAGTTGAAATTTCAAGAGTTTCCCTATCAATGGTAAAGTAAGTTTCTCTCCACTATCCATAATTGTTCTTGCTGCCACCAACACCTATAAAGAAACACGATTATTAGGAAAGGTGACATTTTACAGTTTTTGATTTTACAGTCTACCAGTGATAAGACGATGACATGGTGCTTTATGTTTTGTGATATTTGTCTTAATGCAAAGACAGGTCGTTACTGGCCAAATACATACACAGGAAACATGCCCAATGCCATAGAGATTGGGTTGTCTCATTATCAGTTTTGTCACCAGCAAGGTAGTGAGCACTTCATATGATGGTGTTAGACTCCAAGAACTGTGCTAAGTAGACACAGTCAGGGTTACAACTGGGATGACTGACAGGTTACTTTCATGCTACAGAAAATCTGTTGTTGTTTGGCATAGCCAGTAGTCCAAACTGTCAAACTTTGACTTATTAGGACATTATAATAGAATTGAGTTCTAGAATAGTGGAAATGACTATGTTGGCAGTCTCTTATTTCTTAGTGACCAAATCTAAGAGAAAGATAAAAGCTGCTTGACACAGAGCCACCATACAAATGTTGTACCCTCCCCTCCCTTGCAGCTTAATGCTGATCCTGTTGGTATGCGGACTAATTGGGGTGAAATGAGGTTATTGAGTTTTCTTTGGGTGACGACAGGCACTGGGAACATACAGCTGTATTGTCCAGATGTGTGGCACTGACAGCCTATTTTATGGCTGTGTTTTTTACAGCTTGTTTCCCCTAAATTTCACACAACTTTCTAACATCTGGGCTCTTTTCCTTGGAGCCCTATAACCACTTTATTTACTGCAAAAAAATAAAATCATGTAAAATATACCATAAAAGTTGTTATGCATTTCTCTTTATTCCTGTTGTCTTGCTAATAAAGTCCACTCCTGCCTGACGGATTGTCACAGAAGCAATCTAGTTAGAGATTTTTCAACTTTTGTTTTTAAAGGAGCATCATATTTATTTATAACCTTGAGATGGATTAGGTGTTGCTAAAATGTTCTGACATGTGGGTTTTCTCCCCCCACCCCTCGGAGCAATCACTCCTCTGGAGCATATGGTGTCAATTCCAGGCTCTTGGTCTCGGTCTCAGACAATGACCGTGTGCACTGCTTCTCTGGAGCTGTGTCTTGTCTGAAGCTCACACTAGTTCTCGGGTCAGGGTTTCATGACCGGTCTGGTCTCTCTGACTTGCCCCTTTGCCAAGGGAAATAGCTTAAAGAAAGGGAGGTGCATATTTTGCTCCGAACTGGAGAAGGCCCTGCGGATCTTCATGTGCCAAAATGTAATTGGACTTCGTAGAGACTACACAGATGAGAAACCCAGGAAGGGGAGGTCTTTAAAGCTTTCCCTTCCCAAAACCAAAGGAGCAAACCAGAAACCCCAAGCTGAATGGGGGGGAGGGATATGAGCACTCCCCAGAAAGCACAGCGTTGGGTTTTCAGGGTAGGTCCTGTTTTGCTGGCACAAATCATGGAAAGGCGCATGATTGTTGTGATTTTAGGGATCAAGAAAATGGACAGGATACCTGCAGATCCTCTCCCTTTAACGGTGACCAGATTTCTGGAATCCTAAAGGGGATTGCTGCCCAGGAACTCACTATAAGATGAAGCTGTGTGACTGGGCGCAACCCCAAGGGTGAGTATCAGTGTTTGGTTTGAAATGTCATTTTTCAATAGCGGCTGAATAGTGTGTTGACAATCAGGCTGCTTTGTGACATCTGGTCCCAAATATTCTAATTTGGGGTTTTAAAGCTCACAGCTGTCTGGCATGGAGCATTCTTGTGGAGTACAGGAATCATGACAGCGTTGAAGGGAGTTAGTGCTGGAGTGGGCTACTCAGGGGGGGTAGCTTAGTCTTCTCCTGTTGATCTGCAAAGACAGTATTTTCACCTGCACCCAAAAAGGTTTGGGTGAAGCTTACCGAGTATCATGGTAATGGATGGGATGTGTCCAGATGTAGTTCCTAGCCTCTTGACTCCAGGAGTCCATGAACATTATCTCATTGGGTTAAAATGTACTAGAAGCATAACCAAAAGTTCCCAGAGAGCAGCGTTTTGCAGGCCATAAAAGTTAATTTACATATCTGAAAACCGTAGCATGCTGGGTTTCAATAAAAGCCTGGCATATCATCAAAGGAGCAGTGATATCTTACTCTAGTGGGGAGATAGGTAATCGGAAAGGCGGAGACAGCAGGCACCTGGCCCTCTATGAGCTGTAGATACAAAGTAGCTACAGCAGAGGGTGATGTAGCTCTGTGGAACACTTCCTCCTGGCTGGCCCTGATGCTCTGTGGGCGCCAGATACGCCCACAGATGGCTCAGCCAACAAGTGGCACCACCAGTGATGGCAAAGCCTGGACACACCTGTCTTCTGGGCTTTCTCTGGAGTGACTCCAGATATGGTTGTTTTGAATGTCCTTAGAATAATTAATGAAATTAAGGAAAACAAGTCTATGCCAACTTAAAATTTGAGACAGAACCTTTTCTTGTGGTATGTGAGGCGTCCCCAGGAGAGGCAGCAGAGAGTCTGTGCACATGAGTTCCCACCAGAACTTCTTCCTTTTCACACTGTTACTCACAATGTAGAGTCAGAAGCCAGGACTTGGATCTCAGATGAAAAACAAATATTTGTCTGAAGGATGTCTTTTAGGGAATTAAGAACTGAAATGGATATTTAAGAGATGACTCTCCCTTTTACAGATCACTTTGGAAAGGCTTCATCTCCCTGCCTTATGTGTGCTAATTAAGGAAAAAGAACCAATCTTCTACCTTTCAGTACCCTAAAGCTTATTTGTCCTGGACTTAAGGTCAATATGTGTACATATGTCTAGGTATGTATGTATATTTTTGTATGTATTTCAGTCTGTGCCCTCCTCTTCTCTCTCTGCATGTGAGTGAGTGTGTGTATTTGATAGCAAGATAACAAGGGCTGTAAGTTCGGGGAGACTTGATGGACCATGGCATCAGGAAGCTGGCTGCAATTAGACAAAAACCTAGATTTCCCAAACTGGTTAGAAAAGCAGTCATATATGGGTTTGAACCTGGGCACTCATCAGGCCATAGTACCAAAAAATGTGCCTCTCTTGAGTCAGAAACCCAACATGAATCACAGGGGTGAATGGGATTCATTAAAATGGTGAAAACTGAGGTGGGGTGAGGCCTTAGAATCCCAGGGAGCTCCATAGGTCAGGGCTGCAGCTGGATGGACCTGTTCATATGAGAAGGCTTTAGGTCAAATGATTGAATATGACCTAGGCTGACAAAGGTCACTGTAGAAGAATGTCAAGCATTACAGAGGAGATAGGACATATTTACTCTATGAAGAGTGCTTTGGAAGTGTGGATATATGCCCTTTCTTTCTCTTAGGATGCTTTGATATTCTGAGAATACTAAGCAAGAACAATACTTGCTTCTATTACTGTATATGAAGAAGACTCCATCGTATTTGCCATCTAATGATTTGAAACAACAAAAATAAAACAAAGAAGCTAAATCTTTCCCTTTCCCTTGTCTGGGGATCAGTCAGGCTCACCCAGAGATACTAGTGCTCTCCCAATTTCTCATTCTCTTTGTAGGACCTCCTCACATACTAAGCACAGGCAGATGCCTTCTCCATGCTTAGAATTGGTTCCTCCATTCCGAGGGCAACTGGATGGATGGATGGATGGATGGATGGATGGATGGATGGGTAGAAAACCATGAGGTTTCTGCATGTTTTCCACAATGTGCTTACTACATGGGACAGCTTGTTCACTGTTTAACATGCACACTTGAGCTCAAGTGAGTGCTGAAGTTGTGTATAGATTTTGTATGTGCAGTTCTCCTGACTGGAGAGAAATTTTAAAGCAAGTTGTGAAGGAAATGGCAAGGAGTGGTTATGTGTGTGAGAGAGAGAGGAGGGAGAAGGTCAAGGAAAGCCTTTTCTTTCAGAAGCTTTAAATAGCTATGGGTTTCCCTTACAGGAAAAGATCCTTTGGTTTGTGAGTTTTTCCTGGGGCCTATGGAATTTTGCTCTAACTGTGGCAATTTACAAAGTGTGACTTATATTTAGTCCTCTTTCTTTGGGCAGATGACTAAGTGTTGGTGGATAATCTAGCACACAAGAACAGAATCTCCAACTAGCGATCAATGCTGCCCAGACAAGCTCAGAGCTGAGCAAACAAGCTTTTGGATACAGCGGATCTAACATATGTATAAGTTTTTACTATCACCTTCTTTTGGATAGCTCATTTTCTCAGTGTATGATCCATTCCCGTGGTGAAAACATCTCAACAGTAGAAGAGACTGTGCAGCAAAAAAGAGAATATCTTCCCAACTCTTGTACCAGACCTCTTCCTGGATATGACTACTGTGAACCAATGTACACGCTGCCTTCCACAATTCCCTGTACATGCCCCATGCATAATCATCTCTCTCTCTCTCTCTCTCTCTCTCTCTCTCTCTCTCTCTCTCTCTCTCTCTCTCTCTCTCTCTCCCTCTCACACCACCCTCTTCATGTTTTATACAACCATCCTATTTATATGAGTAAATGATTTATGATTTGTATTTTGTGTAAAGACATCTGGGACAATTTGCTGTACTGACATGTTTTGCTCATGTGTATATTTTTAATACACACTAAATAGTCTTTTCTTGTATGTGTGTTGGTCATTTAATTAGGTGCACATGCAGGCAATTTCTTTATATTAGGTGCCCATATATTCTTTTTTTTAAATTTTATTTTCCAGTTTAAATTTAGATAAGAATCAAGGTTGCTTCACAAGTCAGTTCCAGGTCCCTCTCCCATTCCCTCCCTTCCTCCTGTGCCCTCCCCCCCCCCCCCGTTATCCTCTCATTTCTCCAGGGAGGGTGAGGCCCTCCATGGGGGTGTCCATAGTGTGTCATTTCATATAGGGCAGGGCCTAGACCCTTTCCCAAGAGTTCTGGGTGAGAGTGCACCTCACATTGTTCTATTGGAGTCCAAAGTCCGTGTGTATACTTGGGATGGGTACTGATCTGCTGCCCAAGGCTCAATAGATTCCCTAGGCCTCTTCACTGACACCCAGATTCAG